GTTTGCACTAATTACATTCAGACCACCATTGCCATCCTTGATGTTGTCATCATGTACTTTGAATGTTGTGGCCTCCAGTCTCCATCAGGTGCACATCAATCCAAGCAACACACAGAGAATTCTGAATTGAACCCACCCCCCACAGCTAATCATGCCCATCTCCCACACTTATCACTATATATATATATATATATATATATATATATATATATATATATATATATATATATATATATAAAAAATGAGATAAATAAATTTTTATATCAACATTATATTGAGGGGAAAAAAAAAAGTATGACAAAGTGGGAAAAAATTTTCATGTGACATGTTTTGTTCTTTAGGACTCCATTGGACTAAATTTGTTATGTTAATGCGACTACACATGCACATGAATGAGGGATGCTGGGAATTTTAAGTTTAAAGTTTTTTTTTTTTTTTTTTTTTATACAATCTAACTAATTTAGTTTAAATTCGTTTTTGTTTACACCACTTTTGTTATTAGATATCCCATACTGTGATAATAGAAGTTCTGCCAGGAATGGTGAGCAAAGGTAGAAATTTACTGTAGATGACCTTATGATGAAGACACTCTCAAAACATTTTTGTAATAGTGAATTGTTTTCTCCTTTGATCAGAGTAGCGTTTTTTTTATGTCAAAATTGTGGTCAGCCTAGTTATGGTGGGGAACCAACACAGTTGATGTATTGTTTTGTAAAATGTCCCTTTTTTGTTCATATAATCTTTTATTTAGATTCCTTGAGGTTTCTTCCATGTAGTCAGACCAACACAACAAATTTAGTCCAATCAAGTCCTTAAGGATTAAAAGCCCCCCCCCTTTTGTTATACATTTTCCCTCATATATTTCTGCATATAAGACAACCTTAAAAAAAAAAAAAAAAAAAAAAAATCATCCTTAAAAGATGGGGATCATCTCATACTACAATTCTAAGAAACCTTAAATTCTGAGTGATGTTTGTTGGTAGGCTAACCTTGGCCCCAGTATGATAACCAACGTATATGAAAAAATTCACATCATCAAATAAACTGATAATAAAAGTAATAAAACCATTTCTATCTTATACATTACTGGCATGATTTCATAATAAATCAATTGAAGAATAATTCCATATCAATGAAATCAACTTGTAACCATGCAAGCTCAGCTGAGAAAATGTAAACACTGAGTTATGTTTGCATTCACAGCAATGAAATGTACTATTTTAGTACATTATCATACTGTTATTAGCAGTATTTTGCAATTGTCGATGAAGTATAAGTAAATGGCCATTAGTACACCAGGCTGTTTATAACTGCTAAGATATAAAAAAAGAAGAATAATCAATATTCACAAGATCACATAATGAAATGTAAACAAAACAATTATTCCCTTTTAGGGGACGTGTGTAGGAAAAACATGATATAGAATCAGTTTTGTTATTTTGAATTTCTAAAGATATAGTAAGTGTCAAAATTTCCAATAACATCATCTTTATATAATCAATAATTAGTCATCTTATACTACAGGTATAGGATATATACATAAAAATTTGCTATATTTTTTTATATCTTACCTAAAGGTCACTTTAAATACAGAAATATAGTGTGTGTATATATATATATATATATATATATATATATATATATATATATATAAAAATTGTGTATTTGGGCAGAAATCCCTTTTTACAAATTTTATTAAAAATGACTAACAAGGTACTTCACTTAAGTCTTTTCATTTAATTTTTGTGTTCTTATAATTTTTTTCTTTTCTTTTATGTAGAAATTGTCTGAATGTTCTATATGTCCGAGCACATTCAGCCATTCCTTTAGTCATTATCAAGGATGATTTTATTTTTTTTACTTTGAACTGAATGTATGGATTATTTTATATATGTATGTAGAGTTATAGGAATGCTTTTATTTTTCAAACGCATCAGCACACACACACACAGAGGTTTTTACATGGCAATTTTATTGGCAATTAATAATCAAGAATCTAGATAGATAAAAAAAAAAAAAAAGAATCCCTTAAATTTTTAGATTCAATTTTTTTAAGAATAATCGAGAACCTTAATTTAAGGGGCTCGCTAAGGGTATTAAAAAAATAAAGAACGGTTAGTAAACAATTAAAATTAACAGAAATTGCGTAGAAAGTTTTTAAGTCTTCTTAATCAAATCAACCTTTAAAAAAAGGGATGACATTTTAGCTTTAAAAAAGCACCTAGTTTCTTTTGTTGTTGTTGTTTTTTTTACCGTGTCAATTTAAAAATAGAAATCAGAAACAATTTACTACTTACTGTGTAAGATGTCTTTTTTTATGAAGAACAAAACATCGGTTATTTTCATTTAACTTTTTATACTACTAGAAATCAAAAAGAAATTATTACCTTTTTAGTTTTTACCCCCACGATAACAATAGAGAAACAGTTAGAGTTGAATCACTAAGTAAAAAACGTTAACGAATTGTAAGAAGACCCTCACGGATGTGAATAAGAATAAAAATGAATACAAAAGAAAAGAAAAAAAAAAGAAATCTATCAATAATACAAAAGTAAACAGGATAATAAAAAAATAAAAAATATTAAAATTAATAATACTTAAGTCGAATTACAAGAAGAAAAGCAACTCGATTCTTCAATTTGGCAAATAGAAAATAAAATTAATAAAATATCATTCGGTAAGCGTAAGAAGTTTTTTTTTTACCTTGTTTTTCTTTTTTCATTTACTTGACTTAGTTTGGTAAAACGGGATTAAATTTCATATTTAACTTCTTTTTTTGCTTGTTAAACTTGATTGATTACACGTTAAGATTTTTAAATATTTTTCCAAGATTACGATCTTTAAGCCACCGAAAACTCTCAAGCCTTAAAAAGGCAAAGAAAGAGTATATGTAAGTTTTTTTTACTACGACGTTTATCCGAAATTTTATTCAACTTCTTTATTTTTGTCATATTCCGTCATAAACACGTCACATATAAATAAAAACCTTTTTAATTATTTTTATTCCTTAATTTTTTTTAGATTTAAAACAATAAAGTCAACCTGTCAAAGTGTATTAGGGTCGGGGCAAATTAATCACTTTAAACATTAATTACAAGTGATCAAAATTATCCCTTTTTTCGAAGTTTTAATCAAATATTTCTAACTTTACTTTAAGTTACTAATTATTAATTTACCGTTAACTTTTTATTTTCCACGTCATTTTTTTAATTTTATTTTTAATTAAAAGTTGAAACACGTAATTAAAAAAAAGAAAAAAAAAAGAAAGGTTTTCTTTTTAGGAGATAATTTCTTTTTAAACAAAAGAATTAACATTCATTTAAAAAGATGTTTTCGTCTTTTATAGATAATAATAATAAATAATAACTAATTTATTTTATGTTTCAAACATAAAAATGCAAAATAAATAAATAAATAATAACTTGACTGACAAAATATAAAATTTAAAAAAATATGTATTCAATTCATTCAATAAACTAAAAAATTGATAAGAACCGATTTTTTTTAGATGTTGAAAGAAAAATAATAATTAATTATTTCGTTTTTAAGAAAGAAGAAAAAACATTTTTTATGGTAAAAGAAAGTCTCAGCAAAGTTTAAAAAAAAAGTTTAAAAAGTTAAACCAAAAAAAAGAAAAAAGTGTGGCTTAGAATTTCAACAGAATCTGTTTTATTTTTATAACAATTGAATAAAGCTAAGACTTTCTTTATTTAGTTATAAATCGGGGATTAACTGACAAATTTTATAAAAAAAAAAATAGCGAAAAAAAAAAAAAAACACATATATAAACAAACAAAAAAAACGATTCTTTCAAATATTACTGGTTTTTTTCTTCTTAGTGCTCGGTACATTTTACGACAAAGTGGTCACGTGATCAAACATCTCGTGCAGCTACTTATTTGAGATGGACTGTAAAAGTCATTTTTCCCCTGTACTTTTGCTTTTATTATGAAAATTTGCTTGTTGTTTATTATTATTATCATTACTATTATTATCTGTTATCTGCGTAATATGAGACAATTAAAAAAAAGAACACGTTCTTGGATTCATTTTGGACGGTTATAAAAAAAAAAAAACTACAAAATATTATAAACAAATAATTAACTTAAATTACAATTGTGTTGAATTTAAATTTTAAAGCGTAAAAAAGTAATTTATTTTGTTTAGAAAGCAATAAAAGAAAAAGCAGTGAAAGGAAAATGAACTTTGTTGAGTTATGGTTTAAAAAAAAAAATATTTAAAATTATAAGAATAAAGATTAAAAATAAATAAATTTAACTAGGAAATAACAAAAAAATGTTTTAAATAAAACTGAAACCATAAAAAAATCTACAATAACTTTTTTGAAACATGAAAAAATAAAATCGACTAGACTTGAGTCAAATTGTTTCAACTTTCAATCATACGTTATTTAAATGTCATAGATGGTTATTTTTAAATTAAAAAAAAAAAAACGTTTTAAATATTTTATAATTCATTTTTACAAAGAATATTTGATTTGCTTATCATAACATAAGTTGGAAAAAAAAACAATTTTTTTAAAAAATATTAATAATTAAATTTAATTTTATTATTCTTAATTTTCGTTCCAGAAACTTTTATTTTCATTTTTAAACGACAAAAATGCCTACTGAATTAGAATTTAAAAAAAAAATTAAACCCTGAAAATCTTTGGTCAAATCATTAATTAAAAAATTAAAAAAAAAAAAAAAATTAATTGAAACAAGTTTTTTAACTACTTTCCCCCAAAATTAAACAGAAACGTCATTAAAGTACAAGCAACGCTTTAAGTTCAAAATTTTAATTTTTAAAACTATTTAAAAATACTTCTTCTTAGACTAAAAAATTAAATTAAAAAGAAAGTATTTAAAAATAAATGTAATGTTTTTTATTTGTTGATTTTTTTTTTTTTACTTTCACCATTAATGTGACTGATAATCGATCATCAAAAATGTAATTTTCAATTAGGTTACAGAAAATAAAAGTACTTTTAACTTTACCCATATTTCCTGGTCGAAGTAAGGGTACCCCGGTAGATTTTCGAGAATCCTGTGATCCATTGGGGTCTGCTTGTTGTATATTTGTGGTTGGACTTGTTGGGGTTAAATTACTATTATTAGTGATGGTTGTCGTCGTTGGATTTCGTTGATTGACCGACTGATTCGTCGTTGTCTCGTCGTCTGGGGATTGACAAGGATGATTGTGAGGGTGTTGGTGATGATGAGGGTGTTGTGAGGACGGCATCAACCCCTGTTTTTCGTCACCGATTGACGACGACGTCAATTGGGGTCCACCGGCCATCTCCTGACCTCTGGCGACCATCCGCGTGGGACCAACGTGTTGCTGCTGCTGATGATGATGATGAACGAGTTCTTCAGCAGTCGCTTCCATCGGTTCTTCGTCCATTCTTCTCCCTCGGGATTTTCACACGCCAAACAATACCACAACCCCCCAAAAAATAAGAACCAAAAATCTAAATTTCTGTAACTTATTATGAATAGATGAAGCCACCGCGACTAGATAGCGGTTATCTACGACCGGTTTGCGGCAAATAACTGTCAGTTGCAAAAAGAGAGAGCGAGAAAAAAAGTGTTGTGATTTTACGACACTTGTCGTAAAGTGGCGGAGACAGTCAATTGTCTTCAGCTACTACCGGTACTAAGGTTTCTTGTTTTGTTTTATTTGTTCTGCTTTTTACCTTTTAAAATGGGAAATTTACCTCACCGGCCTTTTATTTATGCCTATCCAATGCATTTTATTTTTAAAAATACACAAATATAATACTTATGGAAATTTTTTCAGGGAGAGAAAGAGTGATGTATGATTGTATGTATTTGTTATCTATTTAGATTCCCTTAAATTAATTTAATTTGTTATGCTACTGAGGACTAACAAAAATGGTGAGGTATTGCTGAAGTGTCTTGATGATGTTTTATTTCTGCCTTACAAACTCAAAACCATACCTGAAATGTTATATTTTTTAAAAAAAAGAAGGTCTATAAAAGACTTTGTTGTCATTTTCACAAGTTTATATTTTTTTTACAGTAGGTTTCACCCTGTATAAAGCCAGGTAGTCACTCGAGGTAGAGAGTTACAGAGCAAGAGGTACAGTTTATGCAGATATGTGGGGAAGATAACAGTTAACTCTAGACTTGATCAGGTTAAGATTGTAGTGATTGGGAAAACATCCTCTTGGGAGTCGGTTCTACAGTTTGTGGGAAGAAGCTACTCAAGTGGAACTTACTTCTCACTGATGGGATACAGAGGGATTGAAGGTAGTTTGTGACAATGGGTGTAGCATGATGGGTCCTAGCTGTGAAGGTTAGAACTGGTAGAACAAAGGAATATTGTTCATCTGAATACTTTCCATAGAAGTAGTGATTAGGGCAGTAAGAGACTTGCCACATTTCGTCTGTGAGAAAGAGGTTGTAGAGTGGAAAATATATTATAGACGGTTATTTACATATTTAAAAATCCTGTCTCCTCAAACACTTTTAAAAATCAACAGTATTATTTGGACTTAGAGGCACCCTGCAAGTCAGTGTGATTTCTCATCTTCAGAATGGCTGCTTGTTTCTGAGCCATGCTGAAGCTGAGAAATCACACTGACCTGAGAAAAAAATAGATAAATAGTAAATAAAATTTCATAGTTTAAGCAGAAATGTTAGAAGTATAGAGATGAAGTAGACTTTAGAAGGAATTGGAAGCCCAATCCTAAACAAGGGACAAATCTCTACTCGTGTTCAAAAAGTTAGGAGGAGTATGAACCAGATGATAGGCAAACATATCTAATCCTATTGGGGAGAGGAGAAAAAATAAATAGTGAGAAACAATTAAGGATTCAGGGGGAGACATTAGAAATATAGAATTAAAGTAGAGAAGGAGCTGGAAATTCAATTCTAAGCAGAAAAAAAGGGACAAATCTCAACTCTTAGGTGTGAACCAAATGATATACTTGCAGATGATTAATATTTGATGTTCATAATAAGAACTATGCTTATTCAGATTTTGAATATATCTGTGCATCCAGGGGCGAATAATCCTCATTCCTTTCATATTCCATTGGTAAGAAGACAGTTCCATTCAGGTAGCTTTTTCCAAGAGCAACTACTTTATGGATCAGACTCTCAAGAAGCTGCTTCCACAAGTACTAAAATCTTAACCCCTTCATCTAGCGTCAACTGGTAACTATCCTACACATCATAATATGCATTTACCACTCCATCTTACATCCATACAACAACCTCATTTACCAACACTCTACCATGAGTAGCTCTTTGGCCTTGTACTGAGAGAAAATTTAGTATAAAAAAACAAACACCCACTTGAACAAAAGATGGTACAAAGCTGAATTTAACATGAAATTCCAAAATGAACAAGAGGATAGAGACTGAAAACAGTTCAGACCTGTTGGTATCTCCCCCTTTTTAGGGATGACACAGGCACCAGAGATTAACTCTAACCCTCCTTCATGAAAGAAGGATTATCTGGGGACTTAATAAGGGGTGTATAAACTTTATTTATTTAATAGTTATATTTATTAAATTTAAAATAGTTTGGCATGAGACCCTAAGTATAGAGCACAAAGCAAAGATTGAACTCGCTGCTCAATAGTAATGGTACGAACGATTACCCTATACTGAAGAACAAAATATTATTTATGAAACTTAGTACACTATTTGCATTATTCGGACTATTGTCCTCATCTTTGTAGCCATATTTATTACAATGTTTCAGCCGTTGTACACTCCGGCCTTTTTCAGGTGATTGGAATATCGAACTTAACCCTTTATTTTGCTCACTGGGGTAGACTGTTCTAGTTCCATGTGCCATGTTTAATGGATGTCAGTTATCAGTTATCTCCTGTTAATTCCCCTCTCCAAGTTCTCCACTGCCTTAACTGGGTATTGAACTCACACTCTTTGGGTCCTGTCACTGGATCTAACTAACACCTTTATCCACTGTGCCATGTGTCCTTGAAGCATGGCACAGTAGATAAGGCAGTGGAGAACTTGGAGAGGGTAATTCCTGGCCATAGCAGAGGTGAACAAAAAAATTTGGAGAGTTAAGTTACTAAAGGGAATTAACTGAAACTGAGATATCCAGAAAAGGCATGGCATGTGGAACTAGAACAATCTAGCCTTATCTACTAAAGAAAGGGTTCAGTTTGAAATTCCAACATATATCACCTGAAGAAGGCCAGAGTGTATAATGGCCGAAACATTGTGAATATGACAATAAAGTTGAAGACAACAGTTCAAACAAACAATGTAAATAGTTAAAATACCCGATCTCAGAAATATAGACAGATGGTAAATTATAAATCTTTATAAAAGGTAAATAATTTTTAGAATCTTGTAAATAAACATTGATGAGGGAGTGAACACAGTTAAAGTAATAGCAGTGTCTATAGAAAAACCCTCCTTTTTGACACAACATATTGTGGGCACATTTATCCATATTTGCTGAAAAAAGATATAAAACAGTTTATTTTACATTTAAGTAAAGCAGAACTTTGACAGATTAATTTATGATGTTTATATGAAGGAATCCCTTTTATTTATTTATTTTTTTAGCTATTTTAAATGCAAAAATTTACCCCAAACAGAAAAAACTACCAGTAGTCTGTGAGCAAAGAATTATTTCTCTGAAGAATGTTACAATTGGAGGAATAAACTTAAAAACTGTTGCAACTGTTCTCTAGGGAAGTTTAGCTGGTCAAATTATGTTTTGATTTGTTTTTCATGGTTTATCAACCCTCTGTGGGTTATTTAAAGCCAAAACGCATATTGGATTGTAAGAATAATTCTTTTTTTTTTTTGCAAGTAAATATTGCATTAAAAAATTTTTGAGAATAACAATAATTTTTCAAGATACAAATCCTACTATTTAGTCCATAGCAGGGGGGAAGTAATGAATCTATACCTTTCCCAAAGGTAGTTGTGTGTAAGTGAATGTAATGAACCCTACTGGAATTTGAACTTATCTCTCAGATTTCTCATTCCTAGCTGTTGTTAATTACACCAGCTGCACATCCACCTGTTCAAGTCAACTTGGCACAGCTTTGGACATTTCTGAGTATGTTCAAAACCTGACTGTGTTCTTTAACTTTCTTAAGCTGCCTGGTGTTCCTCTCCACAAGCTAAATGTTGGGATGTCCATCATACCCCAGAGAAATGTTGACCCCCAAAAGTTTTACAATGGAAATTATCTAGATGTTAAATAGATTCTCACTCATGTTATTGCGGCTATCCTAACTAGGGAAGTCAAAAAGAAGAATGCATGCATTCCCAGAATCTCCATAATTCCAACAGAGTTTTTTTTAGGAGTGTATGCTGATGTCATAGGTATTCATTGTTTGGATAAGAATAATTTGGAATGAAAAATCTAGTGTTCTAAGAATTACAACTCAAACTTTTCTAAAACAGAAACAATGATCTGGAATTGGAATGAAAGCAGTGAAGGCACCATCTTTGAATTCATCATAAAAATTCAGGATGTGGAATTAGTAAATGCTAAACACTTTAAATACATTAGTATACGGATCAGTTATAACAGATTTAGTATACATGTACATAGAATAGACTGCGTTAGAGGTAGTTTTGACTAATACTATAAGTTGCTACAAAGCCAAGACATTAATCTAAAAACTTGAATCATGTTCTTCATCAAATTGAGACTTTCATATGGAAGTCATGCATAGCACTAAACTCATTCAGAAATATTTAAATTGTCAGTTGTATACAACCGCTTTTTCAAATCAAGGACTGAAAAGAACTTTGAACAAATTAAACCTGTCAGTCTTAGAGAAGACTATTCTTTGAACTTCATGGATGAGCACATCCTGGGTATGATGATGAATTATATCCAGCAGCAAAGCCTCTGATTGAGAGGTTTTGAGGAGCATGGACTCACCTCTTAATTGCTGTTGTTCCCAGGCCCACCTTGACCCGGGGTGGTAGCACCTGTTATGGTCCCAGATATGGGCAAATATCGAACCCTCAAACAAGAGCCAAAATATTATGAAATTATAAAAACACATTTCTGTAGTAAAATTTCCTACAATATAATTTCATAGTAAAAGCTGAGTTTGAATTCCAATCAAATCCATTACCTTCACTTACATGCTAATACCCTTGGGAAAGGTATGAATCCTCTTCTTCTCCCCCAGCTATGGGTAAATAGCAGGACAGATCCGGATTCTATAGCCTTGGATGGCAACTGGTCTACCGCAGAAAGAAATGGCAACCTACTGTGGGAAAAAATCTGCCTTGTCAGTCATGTATTGAAAGATGCATGATCGCCGAAGCGTGTATCATGCATGGCATATAACTAATTGATTGTTTGTTTGTTTGTTTGGGTTTTATGGCATATCAACCACTGTGAGTTATTTAATGCCAAATCCA